TTTTTTTTTTTTTTTTTTGTGATAAGCCGATTAGATCACTACTGATCCAATGTATAGCAGCAAAATCATCGTCCACGGTTGCTTACTTAAAGGGACACTGTCACCATTTTTAGCATGATTCTGGAAATCTCAAAAGCATATATTGATCATTGGAAGCTGAACAATAATGGCTTTATTTTGTAGAGCAGTACTCGACAAATGATTAAAACCCATTAAGAAGTGAGGATGGCTAACGATAGCGAGGATGGAAACGGATTGCAATGTGGATTTTTGAAAAAGCGTCAGGATGTAAGTTTTTCAAAGGTTCAATTCTGGCTCGAAAATCGTTGAAAGAATGCACAAATGTAACAGTTGCTGAAGTGTAGACTTTCTTCAAGAAATTGCTTTTAATCATTTAGTTAGAGCTAATTAAGTTCTTATTGCATAAATTTAGGGACCATTCCGTGAATTTATAACAGTTTTAGGCAAATGTATCGTGACAGTGTCCCTTTAAGCCTCTTTTATTATATTACAAGCTCCGTCAGCGGGCAAGATGGACCAAATCCATTGGCTAGCTGGACAGGCAAAATGGCGCTATCTTGCCCGCATGGGACTACTCGCCATGTCCCGCAAGAAAAGTTTCCCAGAAAGCCATGTGATAAATCCTTTATTGGGAATAGGTCCTGATGGGCTGTATATTGGCCTCGTTCTATTTTTTTTTTTTTTTTTTTTTTTTTTGATATTTTGCAGTTTCTTCCGCGATCCGCAAAAACAAGCTCCCGCCAAAATTTACTCGACTGGCGAAATTATACAAACAAAAATCACAAGTGGAATTTTGTTTGCCTGTGTCGTATATGGGAGGTCGTATATTTTTAAAAGTCACTTTCGTTCGGAAACAAAGCGACGAAATAAAAACAAATCGTTCAGGAATAAAGCGATGAAATTGCCCTCGGTACATCACATGTGCGATTAAGTATCAAGTGGCACCATAGTTATTGCTGATTCATCACGGCAGGAGCAGTCAGTCACACTTGGGGCAGATGTAATTGTAATAGAGTGACACTGATTACCGTGTTTTAGGCCCCGTCTACACTACAACAGAGAAATATGAAACGGCGTTTTCACTCTGAAAACGCATCAAATGTTTTCCGTCCACACTACATCGGAAAGCTTGAAAACACAACAATCACCGGTCATTTTGGATTTGTGTTTGAAGAAAACTCGGCCAGGCAAATTACATTATTATCGAGACGTTATCGTTTTCGAAAAGCTCCGTTTTCAAAATGTTTTCCGTCCACAATAAAACGCAAAGCCGGCTTTTTCAAATTCCTCCGGTTTGAAGAGCGCTTTCGAAAAGTTCCGTTTTCGGTCCGGGTTCAGTTAGTGTGGACGGTAGGCCTAACCGTAGAAATAAAGCTGCGTTTTCAAATTCCTCTGGCGTAGTGTGGACTTTGCCTTAGATCTCTTCATGTTGTTTCACTTGTTGATGGCATGTAGTTTCCTGAAACTCGCAAACATTAATACCCAGCAAGAAAACCAGTTTTTTTTAAACCAATTGCAACACTTAGTTTCGCAAAACACGAAAAAACGCCGATCGCAAAGTTAAACTCCTGCAAAAATTCGTGCCACACGGCAGGAACTTAATATGGTTAAGACAACAGTGTTTTGCTACTCAAACTACACTTTGGACCAGAGTAACTATTATAGTCTATACCAAAATGATAAGATACTCACCGTGACATGACTAAGGACAGTGAAGAAATTTCTGTTAAGATGGACTGCTTCATATAATGCCAGGAGAACAGCTTCATTGGTACTGACAAACGGAGACAAAAATAATTCTTACTCTTTTATACAGTAAAGGCACATAGTTAAAGTTGGCTGGATTTTGGACCAAGCGGGATGAATTCAAGCCTGGCCAGCATCACTGGGTTGCGTTCTTGCAAGACACTGCACCCTCATGATCCTTAAGGCACTCTTTTCACACACAAGTAAAAACGGCCAGTATGAAAATCTATCACAAGACCTATATACTCACAACAAAGGATTTTTGCTCTAGGTGACAGCTTTTTGTTGGCTACAGTACTGTAGTACATGGGTGCATGCTAGGCAATAACATTAATTCTTTTATAGGCAAAAGCATAAGCAGCAATGATTGCATACCTGAAACATTGAGATCTCTCTGTCTCAGCAACAAACATGCTTCCAACCTGTACAGTGTAATAAATATTAAAATTTGACGATTTTAGAAAAATCTATATGATGGACAAAAAGTCATTTGACTAATAGCCTGCATAACAGAAGAATAAGAATTTCATTCTGGCTTCTCTCGTTCCTACATTACATCATTTCTTTGGTATCGTTAGTTAATTCCTGTACTCATAGCCCTCTTCATGTTTTGCTTTAATTCTCATTTGCATTACAATGTAACCCAACATGGATGTGAGGGAATTTCTGGCAGAATCTACAAAATAAATTGTTTAAAATTGCCTCACATACACACTGGATTAGGTTGGAATGCAAATCAGTAAAGTTAATTGTAAAAAGGGCTATTGAGTAATGTTATTCTGTCATTTCTCCCCTTTCATCATGTTGGCTCACAAAATTAAGCTCTCATGGCACATACAAAGCTTGTTATGGAACTGATCAATCCTCCAGATGCCTGTTCTAACATAGCTGCATGCTTCCTGAAATATTAATAATAAAAACAAAATGTCAAACATCAATTCATCAGATGGCAAACTAGCTGGAATTTTTAGCTAATACCATGAGCATACTAGACTGATGGCAGCCAGACCTTCCTCTTAGGGTCTGACCAGTGTGGCATGTCTTGTCCCAGTATCTTACAGACTGAAATGCCTTGCCTCATACTTCCTGGTCTGCCAGCAGGCTCTTTGATTCCCTGCCAATTTCATGAGGAAAACAGACTGCCAGCAGTCTATTTGCCTGCATGACATACAAAGAACTAGCGATTGGTACACTATATGGTACGTGTATACATGTGACAGCACTGTGAACACATTATAGACATCTCTGGACACATTGCATTACCTACAATACTTGGTAAATATATAATTTATCATTCTTCGCAGTGACGTAACATTACTTTAAATGTATTATAGTAAGTATGGAAGCAACTTACATGTAGCATCAAGGTACAAGTTAACAACTTAACGTCAGTTTTTCATGCATCGGTCCTCATACATGTAAACTGATCATGAATTTTTTTCATAATATTGTAAAAGTAGCTGTTGATTGCCAAGTGAATCTGCACCTGCTACTTCGACAATGACATAATTCATATTTGTATTTTACGATAACAAATTGTCCGCTCTCACTTGTTGATGCATTGCATAAATTATACATTCATGTGTCTGTCAGCTTATTGACAATGAAAATCTGCCGTGAGAATTTCTGCATTGATCGTAAAATTTATCATAGAAGAAATATTAGCAGACTGATACCATATATCCATAAAGACAAATACCTGTTGTAATCGGTGAGTGCAGCTGATATGACACAGCCAAAACCCTTCAATGGAAAATAATGAACTGCAGTTAACATCACAACGTTATACAAGTACATACAAAGAAAACTTTTAATGATCCCAACCAAAACAAAATTTAGGCAGTTTCCTTGAACACCTAGCCTTTGACATAGCAAAAAAATACAAGATGGCCCTGGACACTACAATTTCTCTGGCAAAGAAAAATTCATGTGATGTTGGCATTTGATTTTACCTTCGGTACAACTCAAATGGTGTTTTCCCTTGCCCTGGTGTATGGTAATATAATATTTATTTAATAAATAAATGTAATATAAACAAAGGAAAAGTAAAAATTGTACCTGAGGGCAAATATTGAACCACAACATACTTTAGGCAATCATTCTATCTTGATCGCTTTTGGATAAAATTAATAAATTAAAAAATTAAAAACAACTATGAACAACTTTTTTAAACTTACATTTAGAGCCAGCTCATCATCCAAGATTGACAGTTTTCCAATGTAAGGATTTGAAGCCTGATAATAATATTCAGACAAATGAATAATCATTATTCCGTTATAACAGAGGTGCTGGTCACAAAAGGCGGCAATTGTTCAATGTAACTTGGTTAACAACATTGCTCGCCCTCTTTACAAATTATTATCAATGATGTTCATAAATTTTTTAATCATATTTACCTTGGACATCAAGATCAATTTTTTTTTGACATATCAGAGGTGAGGTGTCTGGCAGTTCCAAAACATATCACAATACCCCAATCAGTTACTGTGTGTAAAACATCTAAATCAAAGATTATTTTTCTTTCTTTTCTAACCTTGTACACAGAAATAAAGCCAGAGATTGTCAATGGATTGACATTCAAAGATTGTTGCTACTAGAATCAGGAAACTTACTGGTTCTAGTGGTTCAATACTGTAGTTTGTTCCATCAAAGTACACATGAGCAAGACCAAACAATATATCTAGAATTTAGGACCAGGATAGCAAGCTCAGAATTTTTTCTCCTTTTGTTGCTATCAAGTTGGATGTTTTATCCCAGTTTCCCACTACATTGCAATGTACCAAAAAAATACAAAAAAAAAAAATAATAATGAAAATACAATTTTGAGAGAGACCATTCGCCCCCCACCAATGTGTCCTGGGTTTGATTTTGACCGAGTGCCATACGTGGGTTGAGTTTGTTGTTGGTTCTTTCCATGCTCCAAGGGTTTTACCCCTGGTCGTCTGGTTTTCCTACTTCCACAAAAACCAGCATTTCTAAAGTCCAATTGGACCAGGATAGAGGACCTGCATAAAAACCAGCTAAAGCTGAATGTGGCTTTCTCTCTAAAATATTGTAGATTTATATAATAATAACAATTATTTATTTACTCACTTCATACTTCCTGTAATTAACAAGCACTGTCAAGAGCAGCATTGCCTCGTAGCCATGTTGCTGTCTGGCAACTGGATCAGCAAGGACCTGATAAAAGTGTCATAAACTGAGAGTGAGTGTAGAAGGCTACTGCTGTAAATTCAAAGGCCTGTGCACATGTCTTACTGTATGTCAGCATGTGCCTATGTGATATTTATAGGACTGCAATGCATCCAAAGGTTTACAATAGCTGTGTATCTTTGTATGTTGTTACCATTCCAATACAGTAAAAAAAGTCCAAAGGTTTGCTAGGTATTCGTTATTTAATTTAAAAATAGGAAACATTTTACTGGTATGTGTTTCTATGGGGTTATAGCATTTAGGAAAACAAGAATTTATACTGTTGGATTATGAGCTGTTTCCAGAGCTTTTTCTAGTTCTTCTTAGTTTTGAAGTCTTACAACTTACAGTACTTCATAAACTTGATAGTAATTTTATTAGAGAAAATGTTTTCCATTTCTTAATTCTGTAAGAAAAACTGTGAGAAAAAGATTCAACTACCATAAACTAAGGAAAAAAGACAAGTTCTTTGTTTCTATTGAGTTTTACATGTAGTCCAGATCTAAGTAATCTATCACAAATGCCACTCTCTGATTGGCCAAGCTACTCACTATATGTATCTATTCTGTTAAAGATAGTGAGTAGCCCAAAAGTGTGCACTTGCTAACAAAGTGGCAGCCGTAGATCTTTGCATTTTCGAAGTGTCTTTAGAGAGGATTTAGATTTAAAGATTTGCACAGTTAGTAGATTTATACTAAAACAATTAGATTACATGTATTTCCTCTCAATTTCACATCAACTATCATGCAATAGAAATCTCAAGCTCATAATCTATATAAATCATTAAATAGAAGCAAATGTCAAGTTTTTGTGAACATTTTTGAAAGTGTTTCGTAAAAAGTGTACTTAATGTACTAAGACTGCAGATTAAGCATCTCAAACAATTGATCAATCTGACATCAAACTGACAATGTACCTGGATAACTGCTTCAAAAATGCTGTTGATCATAATGTACTCCACTATTGTATTCTGACTGACATTGTCTGTTGCCTAAAACAGTGATCGACACACAGGTTAACATTACACATGGTCAATTTCAACCAAGGAGAATTTTGAACAACGGTACTTGATATATTGTACATGTACTTACTGTTACAAGTATCAGGGCCAGCTTTAGTGATAGGTTCTTTAAGCTCACTGTGAAAATACATGTATTAAAGAAAAATATAAAACTTGTGACAATGAATGATCAGTGGTTCTTAATGCATCAG